CCGATCATGCCATACTTTCATTTTCTCTTTATAGATTTTTGCATTATCAAATACTTCATTTCTTCTTTCCTCAAGTTCATTGAGTTGCAAAAACCTTGTTGCAATAATAACAAGCATCTTTTAGATTAAAATTAAATTCCTTAATAGCCCAAAATGCTTTATGCTCCAATTCTACTGGTAAGTGACATGTTTTTCCAAAAAATAATTTGTATGGGGACATTCCTATAGGAGTCTTATAAGTAGTTTTGTATGCCCATAATGCAGTATCTAGTCTAGCAGAACAATCCAATTTATAAGGATTTACAGCTTTATCTAAAATGCGTTTAATTTCACGATTTGATATCTCTGCTAGACTGCTAGTCTGAGGATGATAAATAGTAGAGAATCTATGCATAATATCATATGTTTTAATCAATTTTTTGATTCTCTTGTTCCTGAAATGAGATCCTCCCACAGTAATAATTACTCCTATTCCATATCTTGTAAAAATATTTTTAATTAAAAATTTAGAAACACTCCGAGCATCAGATATGGGTACAACAATGACTTCAATCCATTTGGACATATAAACAACAACAAGTAATTTATATAAGTTTCCAAATGAAGGCATAAATGGTCTCATAAAATCTAAGCCCCACACATAAAAAATTTTAACTTTCAATGTGTAATTTAGAGAAATTTAATTTCTTCTAGAAATATGTTCATTAAAATCTCTAAAAATAGTAGGCCAATAAAATTCGGATTGCAAAATTTTATATGCTGTCCTATTTGTTCCAAAATTTCCTTCAAATTCAGAATTATAACATCTTTTAATTATCTATTGAGTTTCTTCATAAGAAACATATCTTCTAATAATTAGATCTTTACATTGTTTATATAAATATGGGTCATCCCAAAAATAGTCTTTTGAATCATATATAAATTTCTTTAATTGTGGATTTTTTATATCAGGTGGTAAAATATCACTTATAATATAATTTACTATATCAGCATACCATGGTACATCCATTTCATCAATACTATATAACTATTCATTAGGGAACTTTTCTAAAATTTCATTTGCAAAATTAGTTAATATTTCTATTTCTATTCTAGATAAATGATCAGCCATTTGATTATCATTTCTCTTTCTATCAACTA